CCCTGCACCCGCAGAACGCCCCCCAACAGCCCCGCCCACCCTGGCCAGCTGGGCCCTGGGCCTCTGGCTCATCCTGAGGGCACAGGCAGTGGGGCAGGTGGGAGGGACACCATCTGTGGTTCCAGGGACCTGGGGGAACCTGCACCCGGGGCCCAGCTGCCACCCATGTGGAAGGAAGCGGAGCCCCTCACGGCCACTCGGCGGGGGTCTTTGCAGGGAGCCCAGCCTGACTGGGGCGCCCACAGTATCGCCTCACTGCACAGGAGGCCATGCCCTGAGCCTTGGGAGGACGCAGGGGGCTGGACCCCCACACAGAGCCACGGGCAGCGTGGCCTCGTCCCCCTCCTGTGTCGTCCTTGCCTGTTGAGGGGATGGCCTCTTGTTGTCAGGGAAGCCCTCTACCCACCTCACCCAGCGGGACCTGCAGGCCCCTCCCCTGAGCAGGAGCCCAAGGGCAAGTGGGGGACAGCCCCCCTGTAGGAGGGGCCGTGGGGCTGGAAGGTGAGGGAGGACGTGATGGGCGTGCAGGCTGTGTCCCCTTCCCTTGCAGAGCCCCTGTCACTGTCCCTGTAGCTACAGGTCACCACGCAGGTGAGGGGGGCCACCGCTCCTCAGGCCTGGAGCCCCTCCCGGACCCAGAGCCCCTCCCGGGACCCAGAGCCAGGGTCCAGCTCGCCTCAGACTCGGGCTGTGAACCCACAGGAGGCGCTTCTGTGGCCTCAGAGTCACCCAGGGACACAGCGAGCGGCACCCGGGGACACGGAGAGGGTCACCCGGGGACACAGGGAGCGGCACCCGGGGACACGGAGAGGGTCACCCGGGGACACAGGGAGCGGCACCCGGGGACACGGAGAGGGTCACCCGGGGACACAGGGAGCGGCACCCGGGGACACGGAGAGGGTCACCCGGGGACACAGGGAGCGGCACCCGGGGACACGGAGAGGGTCACCCGGGGACACAGGGAGCGGCACCCGGGGACACGGAGAGGGTCACCCGGGGACACAGGGAGCGGCACCCGGGGACACGGAGAGGGTCACCCGGGGACACAGGGAGCGGCACCCGGGGACACGGAGAGGGTCACCCGGGGACACAGGGAGCGGCACCCGGGGACACGGAGAGGGTCACCCGGGGACACAGGGAGCGGCACCCGGGGACACGGAGAGACGCAGTCCGGCCGAAGTGGTTCAGCATCTGGTCGCCGCTCAGGCTGTGGTAGTCGATGGAGTCCCTTTTGATCGTCCAGAGGAAGTAGGGGACCTCGTTTCGCACCAACCTGGACTGGCAGGAGGCCTCCATCAGGACCCGCATCCTGTCCCCGCGGCCGCGGACAGAGTCCACCCCCCCATCACACCCGCTCCGGCTCCGGGGCCACCGTGCCCGGCGTTGGTGGGGGGAGCGCCGTGGCCCAGGGTCCTGCTCCTCGCAGGTCTAATGTAATCAAGTCCGTTTCTCCCCGGCGAACGCTTGTGGCCTCTTTTTAAGTCTGTCCCTCCCCCGAGTCCCGCATGAGGGCCCTGGCGTCTCCGCACCGGCTCCCAGGACCCGCACTGCGGGCTGAGTGGCCCCCCAACCCCTGGCCCAATCAAGGTCACCAGCTGGGCTGTTTGGGGTTCAGCTCTGCTCAGTGGTCAGTGTGCAGCCAGCACGAGTGAGGGCACCTTCTCCTGCCTGCTCCTCGCGGCATTTCCAGTCACAGACACAGCCTGTCGGCTCACACATGGGCACACAGGACACACATGCTTATGCACACCACGTGCACATACTTGCACATGCATGTGCTCACACACATACGTACACATGCACACGCATATGCTCTCATACATGCACACATATGCGTGAGCTCAGGCACATGGGTATACACACATGCACACATGGGTGTCCTGCAGCGTGTCACCCGGCTGTGGGCTGTCTGACCCCCGCCTGGCTCTGCAGCGGCTGGTGCAGAGGCCTCGGGATGGGCTGTGTCCGCCCCCGATGCCATGGCTGCGCCCGGGTCCCCCAGGGCCTCGCGCAGGGGACCTACCATCACGTCATGGATGTCGTCCGTTTCCTCGAAGGCCGCTTCCTGGCTTTCTTTGCTTTCAGGACGTTTACTTTCTGCAAATACAACATGGGGGCATCCACGCGTCACGGCCGAATGCCTGGCCACCAACACTCGCTTCAGGCGGCCACGGCGGCCAGACAGCCCCTGACCGCCCAG